CCCCAAAACCCCAAAACCCCAAAACCCCTTTAGGACGTAATAAGATTTATTTCAATGAGAGATTTTACATATAATTTAAAATTTCAATAAGAAATAGGAGCCTGGTTATTATTCTAATTATTTCCTAAACAAAATGTGATTAGCTCATTTACCTTAGATTCTAATTCATTCTTTTGTAATCTGAAATTCGTCCTTAATAACTATTCCTAAAACTTGAGATTTTCTACCTCTGAAACCAATCGTTTAATTTCATTTTTTATATACCACATCTCTACCTCTCTCATGAAATTTTTCCATTTGTTTAATCCATAATTTTTTAGTCTTTATTCTTAATTTGAGCCTTTTCTTAATAAAAGATAGGTCAGAATTGCATTCCTTTTCATATTTTACATGTTTTAATTCATAATAATATCAGAGATTCCTGTGTAAGTTTAGCTATTATTAGTTTCTATTCCTCCCTCAACTCTAGTATTTCTTTGAATGTTTTCAGTAGTATCGCCAAAGACTCTGCTATTATCTATAGTTTCTTGACGATTTCCTAATGAATCTGCTAACCTAGGTGTACCGAGAGCAATTATCTAGTTGAAACCATTATCTTCGCCATCAGTATCATTATCACCTCCAATATTTTTGATGCTATCATTGGCACCGACATTAATGGATTAGAATGTATTATTTTGATGTCTACTAATATTAATAACATTCTCTTTCAATTGAAGTATAAATTGTACTTTACTTTTCATAGTCTGATACTTATATTCTTAAAAGGCAAATGCAAGCAGCAGTCTAGCTCTTCTCCTCATATGTAAATTTACCATCTTAATTACATTTAAGCATCTAAATTTCCAAAACTTTTCAAGTTCATTTTCAAGATTCTAACTGATCAAAAACAGCTACTCTCCATTCATTTTCTTGAAACTCTCGATATTCAGTTATCTAGACTTTTAGTACCAAAAGGCATCAAACCAATCCATTATTGGTTTTTATTATCCGAATTCTCTTTTAAATTAAGGCATTAATCCTAATTTTGTCAGAGTATTAGTATCTAAACTTTATAGCAATTTTCTTGCTTTATCATTTTCCAATCGTTTTTATAGAGTATGCATTTTCCAAACCATTAAGAAATAGGTAGCTTAATGAGACTAATCTAAGGATTCTATGCTTTGATTGAAAACAAATTTTGTATTTTCAGAAGACTTCAGAAATAAATGCTAAGACATTGATTCGACAGAGTTCAGTAGAATCTCAAATTTTTGCTATTAAGTCAGATCTTTTTTCTACTTTTTTTCTCTAAATTTATTTAAAACTGAGTTCATTTCTTCATCTGATACTTCAAGTTCAAGGCTAATCTGACTATCAGGATTATGTTTCTAAAAATATTAATGATATTTTAGTTACATTGAAGTAATCCTCTAGTTGTTTTATTTTCTCAAACTTTATTAGCATTTTGAGTTTCTATTCATTCATTTACCTCTCAATCTAAATTAAATTTTCATTTTCTACCTTAATTCTTTCAATTTCTTTGTTTAATTAATTATTCAAAGTTTGATTCATTTCGTTTTCCATCATTAAGCTTTACTGTAAGACTTTAATTTTTTTCCTCTCTTCATCTACATCTGTAAAAACATCCAAACTTTTATACTCATCAGCAAAATTATTCAAAGGATTAAAAGCAATCTTGGAGCCATCCATCATTAGACTTTCATTCATTCCTTAAAATTTCATTCCACTAGGAAATGCAGTGACTGATCTCTGCTGACTATGTCCTCCTCTTGTAATATTATTAGGAGACAGGCTTCTATCTCGAGGTGATTTAGTGATCTGTTAACTTTTCTCATTGAGATACTTCCTTTCTTAATCTATGAAATAAGCTTCCCTTAGGATTACTTTTCTAAGATTTTGGAGTTTATCTTCCTAATTCAAGACATTATCTTGTCTCTATATTCTATTTGATTCAAGTTTCTCAAAATTATTAAGTATATGCTGAATTCTCTCTGAAAAAATAATTCTAGGCTAATTAGATAGTTAGCTTTAATGATTTGATAATCCAAAAATCATTCCCTGGCTGAGAATATTTGATGATTTATTTTGAATAGCAATATCAAACACCGACCCTCTATTATTATTTTGACTACTAATGTATGTTTAAGAACCATGTAAGGAGTTTTAAGCAAAATGTTGGCTGAATGGATAATCTATTTTATTCAAAGTTTGTGTCATTAATAGACTCTTACTGCTCTGGCCTAAGTTATCAGCATTCATGTTCATCATCTGATTGAATATTTATTAGTTATTTATATAGTTTTAGTCGAATTGAATAAGGTTTATGTACCTCTTTAGATTATCAAGAAGTGCTTATACTTCAATCCTTTATTATTCTAAGTAATTTTTTTCCTCCTCAACCTACCTTTATTATTCTATAAGCATTGAATACTTTTCTCTTTCTGAACCAAGTTCTAATCTTTCATTTTCAATTCGAGTTAGCTCACCTTCCATGTATTGCTTAACTATTCCATTTTTAACTCTTTCTTAAAGAATGACAAATTCATATTTGAGTAGTTGTTCTAACTTTAGGTAAAGTTCTCCTCCTTAATGATTTTTGAGAAGTTTCTAGTTTACCTCTCTATTTTTAAATTCAATGAAATTTTTATCAACATCAAGATTCATACCCTTAAATAGATCAGGAGTTAGCTTTACATCTGTAATTTTTTCTCCTAATATTTGATCATTTTCAAGGCAGTTAAGTGGCCATGATATGGCATTCTTTAACCTCTAATTTAGTTCTCGTTACTTGAAAGTATATTCAACTCTTTTTTCCTCTGTTAGACGTTCTCTAATATCTAGATCCCGTTCTCTTCTAGTAAGCTATCTATTTTTTTACTCAAATTCACTTTAATCTTTGAATTTCAAAAGCTAAATTTCGTTCTTTTAAAATTCAATCTATTTTTCAGATTGTAATAACTCTTAGAATGTGGTTTCAGTCTAGCAGTCGGCATTATTAAATTTTGTAATTAACTTTTTATGCTCTTCACTGTTTTTCAGTCTGTACTCCACAGCCATATGAGTCTCGAGATTTTCTAGTTCCATTTATTCCACTATTTCTATCTTATTATTTAGATATAGTCTTAATCTTTCAAGTTCCTCATAGTTTGTTTATAATTTATTGATTTCCATTGTTAATTTAGTTTATATACTGCTCAAATTTCTATTAGAATTAAACTCAGGCATATTGGACAATAAGTTAACTAAATCTTCAAGGCTCTTAAAATTTTAGCCATTTTATTGGCTTTAAGAGTTACTTGAGTTGTCTAATTGCTACTATATATTCATGAAGTTGTTGATTTAATTTTGGTTTGAATCACTTTTCTTATCTTTGATAAGTTTACTTAGATTAGGATCCTAACTTTAATCTAAAGGATCAGATTAATTGAGTTAACCAGTAAACAAAAGAGAATCTTTCATCATATTTAAAGGTCTAGTCTGTTAGAATATCATTGAGCTGTTAGTGTCTTTTGGCTAAGCCAATAGTTCTTCAATTTACTTTCTCTGAATATTGAGTTTAAAGCATTACAATGCATTTTACATTTTCAACCTATGAATTTATTGTCAATAAAAATAATAGATTACCTGTTGATATACTTGTTGTTGATAAAATCCATTTACTTAAAGACACTCTGCAGCTACACTATCCTTGTTGATAGCTAATAAATTGGTGAATCTTTAAAATTAGTATTATGATGATGCTAAACAATAGTTCTTGCTTGACTAATATTGATACTATCGCTTTGATTTTGGAAATTATTGTCATCCTCTTCTATTTCATCAGGGGTCATAGTCAAAATATTCAGTCTATTTTAGTTTGTAATGCTCTGTGAATATGTATAATTAGAATTTTGAAGAAGTTCTTCATCATCATTGCGAACATTAGGTGAACCTTCAGAGTAGCTTGTGTTGTGTGAAACATTTTCCATTTTGAATTAATTCTTAGTTATTTGAAAATGAAGTATTTTATTAGATTATATTTGATTAGTACAAATTATAATATAAATGAATTTTACTTCTAATCTATAAGTAAACAACCTATTTAAGGGTCTCACTCAATCCTTATAAGCCTAATAATCTTAGCAAGCATAGGCTATAAAGCTAGAAGATCTTATCAACAAATACACTGGTCTAGGCAGAATAGAAAAAGACGTAATTTTCAATTATGTGAAGAACGGTGAGAGCCAGGTGAAATAAAGAAAAGACTACATTACTAATGTCATTATTATCTTCAATTCTTTTTTCGAATATGGGTTTCTCCACAAATCTATTTCATCAAGCTCAGGCAAATCATCATCTTATGCAGATGAATGGGCAGACGGAGATGATAGCAATTAGTTAGGAAGAGTTGAACATTACTGGGAATATATGACAGTCTAGTTCACAGATTTAGATACTGTTAGATACATTAATTTCTACTATGAGGAAGCCTCAAACAACCGTGAGAAGGCACTAGGTTGGATACTTTTGGCACTCAACCAAAAAGATGAACTTTAAAGAGTTGTGATGGAAATTTTTAGTTGCATTCCCATATTACAACTTTATAGTAAGCAAGATTCTTACCTATGGGCTAATAGAAAAGAGATATTAGAGTGTATTGACCTAGTGAATCAGAAATCTATGTACAATCCATGTCCTCTTCTTGATAATTATATTGAATTTGGAAAGAAAAAAGAAGAAAAAAAGGTCAATCAAAATTTCTTGGCATTTTTAGAAAATGAAGAGGATGAAGAATAAATTGTAATTTAAACTTCAGCAAGAAGACCAGAGAAATAAAATTCACCCATAAGCACTTAAAACAAAAGCTAGGATGGTAGCGGAAGTAAAAAAGATTAACTTTCTAATAAGAGTGCATTGAAGTAATATATATCATAGTCTGACGGAGGAAATAATCTCAAAGATCAGCAAGAAGATATTATTGGAGCCAGATTTTAAAAGTAAAACTAATAATTTAAATAAGAACATGACGACGAATAAAGCAGTGTTGTATTCGATCCTAAAAATTCTTTAAATAATTCTAAGGATCATGAAGATTAAGCTAGCAGCTAAAGCTAAATTTTTAGAATTAAAACAAGCAGAAATGAGGTTGGATCCTTTGCTCATTCATCAGGAGGTGAATCACAGATAAATATAAAGTAGCATAATTATGGAACTGTCTCGGCTGTTAATAATAACTTGTACTAAATAGATCGATAACTTGAAAGGCAAAGTAATTAAAGCTCCAGAAATGAGGCTAATGAATTTACTCCAAGAAAACATACTGAGACTCTGATAATAAATTATGACAGAATTTCACTTTCAAGTATGAATGAAAGTAACTTTAGATAAAATTTCAATCAGGTATCTAATTCTCATGTTACCATAGCAAACAGTAGGCTGAATCTTTTCAGCAATAATGAGATATTAGCTGAGAATAATCCAAGTAAATCACCATCGCCAGAATAAACTTCAAAAGTTAACTTTAACTATGACACTAATATTTCTCCAAATAATAAGGGTTGGCTTACTATTAGAGATAATAATCCTTTTTAGCCAGTTTAGGAGTTAGAAGATATATTTAAAGCAAATTTATCATAAAAATTCTTCATTAATGAAATGCCAACTAAAGATAACAGGATTAATGATACTTCATTTAACACTAGGTCAGTTCACTCTGTAAAATATAATGATGCCTTCAAAAATAAGACATAAAGAGAATATAGGGACTCTTAATACTCAGATTAAAATGAGAATCAGCAAAGCATAGGTCTTGAAGATTCAAGAAGGATCATTGACAAAATCTTAAATGAGGAAAATATCAATGTGCCATAAGAGTTTAGAAAGCAATTTAAGATGATTTATAAGGATCTTTCAGGAAATAAGTATAAATAAGATCTTAAAAATTCAGAATTAGTATTTTTTAACGAATACTATGATAAATTCAAAATTCTTGAGTATACTTACTAAAAGAAAACGATATTTATGAAAAAGAAGGATTAAATTGTAACTTATATATATATTTTAACACATATTTTAGAGATAAAACGCAAAAAATATAGACAATATTTGTGGGTCATGCTTAAAAAATTTACCACCACTAAAGTTGTTTGGATTCATTTAAAAAAAGCACTATTGCTATTTCTGTTTGGATTATACTTGCAAAAAATGTATGGCTGATGATTAAATTTTGATTCCTTGTGAATTTTAACTTAAATTTACTGTAAAGCAGTTCAATGTCTGCAAAGATGCATTTGATTATCTAAGTAAATTCTAGTACCTCAAAATAGATAAGAAAAATCCCATTCTCCACTACAATATGGATCTAAGATTAATTATGGTAACTACCTAATCAATTAAATTATATATAATAGGTAATGAGAAGGAAATTGCATAAACTATTCGACCTCATTAAGTGTAACAAGTGGCTTAGTATTTTAGGGACAAATGGATATGAATTTCAAAAGAACCTAATTTTGAGAGAAGCTTATTTTACTTTTGATTAACTTTGCAATTAACAGAAATTATTCGCTGATATCAAAGCAATTGCTCAAATAATACTAGATCATATTTAGACATGCCCAGTAAGAATTAGATTTTAATTTATTTTGTAGGTGTGTTATTACAAAGGTGAAAAATGCATGATATGCTTAAGTAGCAATATAATAAAAATTTATGATGTGGAAAATGTCGGCTAGTGCTATTAATGCAGGAAGAAGGGTCATAGAATTTGCATTTAAAATCATTAGTGCTGATTTATTAAATTCTGATATTGATTTCAAGATTTAACAATAACTTAGGGGTTTTGGGGTTTTGGGGTTTTGGGG